ATATATATATATATATATATAATTGAGGAAGAGGTCCCCTGCTCACTATCGCTCGCCAACCCCCGATAATTGACGCGCGATTACATTTTCGTTCGCTTCGCGAACAAACTTAAAGTCGTTTTCCTGGAGATTAGCTGACAATTTTTCTGCACCAACATCACATAGAGAGAATATGATAGGATTGTAAAATGTCAGCGGAACTTATTATCAACATTATAAACTTATATAAAGCAATTTCAATACAAACAATATTATAAACTTATATAAAGCGAGGAAGCAACATTACTATAGGGCATTAGCCGGAGATAAATCTCCTTATCCGAAGCACACTTGGTAGAGCCTAACTCAAATCATTGTTGATCTTATAGGATGCCAGACGCTCCCTATATGGTGCTGTATCCCCCCCCCAGTAATTTAAATTTTAAACTAAAAATAATTAAAACCTGATGAAAAAAAACTTTACAAGAATTACAGACAAATTAAAACATGTAATATTAATAAGTTGATTGTAAGTAATATTTCAAAAACAAATACCATTGCAAGTAATTGCTCATCATCAGCATTGGCACGACAGCCCTTTGTGAGCCTGGGCCTTCCTCAGAAGCTTTTCCCATTCTGCCCTTCTCCCAGCAATTGTTTTCCAGCTCTTTACTTTTAGGATGGCAAAATCCTCATCTACATCACCTTCCATCTCTTTTTGGGCCTTCCTCTTGGCCTTTTATTGGAGGGGGTTGCATTAGAGACTCTCAATGCTGTTCGTTCTGGGCTCATTCTCACTACATGACCGGCCCATATCATTCTACTTAATTTAATAGATTTAATGATATCATCGCCATCAAAGAACCTATATATTTCAAAATTATATCTTTTCCTCCAGTTGTTGTTATCGAGTATAGGGCCAAAGATGATTCGTAGGATCTTCCTTTCGAAGGTTGCTAATAACTTTTCTTCCCTTTTTGTTAAAGTCCATGTCTCTGAAGCATAAGTCAAAACTGACTTGATTAATACCTTATAAAGTAAGATCTTAGTCTTTCTTTTTATTAAGTGAGATTTCAATAATGATCTTAAACCATAGAAGCAGCGATTGGCTGCGATTATTCTTTTTCTAATTTCAGGATTGATGTCATTTTGATAGTTTATTTCTGATCCTAGATAAGTAAAATTTTTTACAGATTCAAATTTAAAAGAATCTATTTTAAACAATTTAGGGATGGTTTCCTTTGTGCCACAACACATATATTTTGTTTTCTCTACATTCACTCTTAAGTTAATTTTTCTAGCTGATTTTACCAGTGCCAAAAATTTTTCACTCAGTGCTGTCCTAGATCTTGCGATGATATCTACATTATCGGAGTATGCCAAAGTAATTGCTCAATTAACTTCAATACTGTCAACTGACAAAATATTTTAGTTTCATTTAAACGTCTTGACTTTAATTTCTTCGCCGCACATTCCGCCGTCGCGTATTGATAGCACTAAGATTATTTTCCAGTTATTTTTGTGCAGCTAAATCATGTTCAGCTCTATGCCACTGTTGATATCGCCTAAGATATTCACGGCGATCCATTTTTCATAAGAGATATAAGTATTTTAAAGTAAACTCTGTTCAACATATTTTGATAATTTGGAATGTAAATAGTTTTTTAGGAGAGTGTTGATTCGTGCTTCCAATAACTCTATATCAAAGCTATTAAAATACATTGGAATTCTAAAATAAACAACTGCGTTCTATCAAAGCAAACATTTTATTATAAAACCTTAGAACAACTATCTTTTTACAATGCCACTCAAAATTATTAATAAACACTGGATAATATTGCGTTAATGACACTTTTATCTAATGACGTCATAAACAATCGTTTGCATAAAGTTTAGTTCATAATAATCATATATAATCGTTTGCATAAATAATCGTTCTGGCTTTTTATAGCTTTACGTAACAAGTGTGAGATTTTTTTTTTCTTTCTTTTTTTTCTTTTCTTGGAATGGCGATGTTATAATTTTGTTTTTGAGTTAATAAATCTTCCTTTTTATAAACGTAATAGTAGAGTTTTCTTAATTATTTGATTCGAAGTCTTCTGAGTTTTATTTGAGGTCAGTTTGCATTTTGTATTTTTCAACAGCATTATTAAAAATTATTACCTTTTCTCATACATGCATTCTCAATTTTGATTGGCTGTTTTGTGCGTTACTAAGCAGAAGTCTTCTGTGATTGGCTATGTGTTATCATTCCACTCTCTTCTTATATATAAAGATATATATATACACTTTTGTCCCTTCTCATCCACGTCCTTATTATTCATGAAGCATATTGATTTTTATTTGCATTTGCATATTTCTGAAGGCAAGAGTTTTTTTTTATCAAGTAATATTTTATATTTTGCCAGTTCATATTCTTGAGATTATGTATTTAACTATCTTAGTTGTTTAATGTTAGTTCTAATAATTAAAAAAATATTGTGTGATAGTTCTAATAGCTAAGTATTAATACACATTTTAATAATATGTTAAAAAAGATTGTATCACTAAAATTCTATTGATATGCTAAAGAATTCTCTCGTCTCTACTTAAATCTAATTTTTTAACAATTCACTATTTTAGAGCCGAAAATTAACGTAAAACAAACAAATACAAAAATATAAAGCTGGTAATCACTTTGCTACAGAGTAGAAACAAAAACAATTAAATTATCGTTTCCTGAGTGTGAAAATGCATACAAAATCATTTCCGGATGGTATACATTTATACCGCTGTTTATGTCTAGAAAAATGCTTAATTGTTTCATGTTTATTTTTATACGTTGTTTTATGCTTGTTTAAAATATCGTAAACTAAAATCGGAAAACATGGGAAATATTTATATTTAGTAAGTTCAAATTTTATTTAACTATACATGAAAATCTCAAAGTAAACTATAATTTTAATACATTCTCAATAATAGCATGGTTTCATATATCACAAGCATTATCATAAGTTATCCCGTCATTTTAATCATAAATGTTAAATTTTACGTTTTTGTCATGTTTTTTTTTCTTAAATTTAATTTTATTTTATAATCAGGAATCTTTGCACAATGTTCAATGTTAACCTAAAGGTCTCAACTTGAACGCTCTCTTCTACTACAATCTCTCTCTACTTTAATTGAAAAAGCTTTCCTTCAAGTTCAGAGCTTTGGAGCTAATATTTAAAAAGAAGTTTTAAAAGAATGCCGAAATATAAGTGGCGTTGTCGAGTCGAACATGAAATATAATGGCTGTAAATACTGTCTTGTAAATTTAAACTTTTATTTTTCAGAGCCCACCATCACCTTATAATTTTGAATTCAATACTAAAGATGAGAACGGAACGTCTCAGTTCAGATCAGAGACAAGTGATGGCAAAGGAAAAATAGAGGGACGTTACGGGTACAAAGACGCCTTTGGAATTGAGCGAATTGTAGAATACGTTGCTGATGAAAATGGCTACAGAGCGCAAATCAAGACTAATGAACCGGGTATTGAAAGCAAAAGTCCAGCAAGCGCGCAATTTTACACGAATCCTCTACCATCAACATACCGTGCTGCGCAAGCCAGTAAAAGCTTCGTTGCACCTGCCACCAGCAGCATTCAGCAGCAATCTTTCACGGCACATGGATCGCAGCAGGAATTTGCTACTGTTCATAAGGCACAAGAGAGCCATGTTATGAAGCAACACCATGATTTCAAGCGATTGGGTGCTGAAACTGCAATTACTAAAGATACATCATCTATGAAAGCTGCTGATACTAAGAAACCAACAGCTTCTTCTGCATTTTTCACGCTTGGTGCAACAGAGGAAAAGAAAAAATTTCATTTTGCTGACAAAGAGCATAAGCAAACATCTGCACCTCAATCTGTAGCTCATTTTGTGCAACAAACGGCTTCAACACCTCTTTCCCACACTTCTCCAGCGGAAAGCTCGTTTGTGCAGTTTGCGTCAGCACAGATGTCTAAATCTCAGCAACAATTCCGCAGCCCATTGGACCGAAGCTCGTCTGCGCATCCACAGCAACAATTCCAAAGCTCATTCGTGCAGCAAACACCAGCGCAATCGCCTCAACCACAGCAACAATTCAAAGGAACATCGGGCCCACATTATTTTTCTCAAAGTGGCTCTCAGCCCTTAGTTTTTTTCCTAGCCCATCAAGGTCAACAAGTCGTATCTCAAAGTGGTCCACAAAAAGGACAATTTGAAGGGGCCCAGCAGCCACAATTCCGTTTCCACACTGGATTCGTTCAACAACCAAATGCACCATTCACAATTTTCCAACAATAAGGAAAAATCTCTTAAAACTTTTCCGGTTCCTAGATCTCAGTGATTAATTTTATGTTGCGTTGATGCATTTGCTGTCGGCGTTGTTAAGTCTTGTCTAAAAATTTATGTTCAGAATGTATGTTGCGATAACTGTATTATTTTTTGCATCCTTAATGAAACCTGCCAATAAAAAATATCAATAAAAAACTTGAGTTTTTCTTTAATCATCTCTAATAATCTTTTAAATATTATCCCAATTTATTATGTACTCCTTGAATTATAATTAAAGACAATCCCAAAATTCTTTATTAAATGAAATTTTCTAATAACTCATGAGTTATTCTCAATTTTATTTATTTTGATGTAAAATAAATAGAATGAAATTAAAAAGTGTTACATTTTGTATTAAAAATAAGAATTATGAAATTTGATACAATTGCAGGGAATTACAATTAATTAAACAAAAAATTGCTGTCAAATAAGATATTATCCCTTTTTTAAAAAATAATTATATTGAATGAGTGATTGCCTTCTACTCCAAGATGCCGATATAATAAAATTGTATAATTACTTAAACAAAGTATTATTAAAATCACATTGTGGCGTAACTACCACTACGATTATTAAATATCAATTCACTAGTATATAAGACATGCTAACTTGATTCAATCATGAGGTACCTTTTGATAGATGAAGGTTGGCATTGTCTGATGGCCTTTCCCCACAACATCTTTAAAAGCACAAAATTGGAAGACATTCCTAATCCTCAAGTTTTTTTAAGCATCTGAACAAAAAGCCATCATTTAGTTGTTGTTGTTCTCAAAGGCCCTTAAAGCAAGGGATGTGATTCTTCTTGTTTTCAGTGGCGCCATCTACAGCCAAGAATTTGACTTCTACCACACCTATACTTCACACCCGTTTATAGGGCGGACTCATTCATCCACAGATCGTGATTTTGACCTGAGCCAGAGAACGCTCTTTCACCTATTCAGTACCCCCAGAGATATAATTTGTCATTTGAACATGCAGGACTTTGTGACTCGTCAGTTTTAACATGCACCAGTTTTTCTACAAGAGAAGTCTTTGCCCGGCTAGATTCAAACTACAGTAATCACGAACGCGAGTCCAGTGCCCTGCCAACCACGTTATCCCGGCCCCGTAATTTAGTTTAGGTTTATAAATAAAACAAACTTTCATATAAAGCTTCCTTATAAATAAAATGATATTACTCAAAGGGTTTAACAACATTGCAATAATTATAACCCCCTTCTAAAAAAAAGGGGGATGTTTGGAACTGATTCAGGAATTGTTATCAACCTGGGGTGGGGGAGGTCATTAACTATTAACAACTAAAAAAATTTCTACGGCGGTTCTTCTTCCTTTTCAAAAAAATTAGATCTCCTGAAGTCTTGGCTTTTTTTTTTTAAACTTATTTTCCTTCAAAATAATTTTCTGAAATAACTTTCTTTTTAAAATTATTACTAATTGGATAGTTTGCCACAAAACGTTCAAGTTCTAAATTATGCGTTTCATCTAAAATAGTGAAAAAAAGTTTGAAAATCGATGACAAATTATTATGAGAGATAGCTTTATTTTTTAAACATCTATCTTAAACAACAACTAAAAAAACTACTTCTTTTCGGAAACCAATACATTATTATACTCCCTTTTATATCAATTCCATTACCAGAAAATGATATTTATTTTACTTTATTTTTTAAACATTTATCTTAAATAACAACAAAAAAACTACCTCTTTTTTTTAAAATCAAATTCATCATTATACTCCCCTTTATATCAATTCCATTACCAGAAAAAGATATTTATTTTACTTTATTTTTTAAACATCCATCTTAAATAACAACTAAAAAAACTACTTCTTTTTGGTATCAAATTCATTATTATAATCCCTTTTATATCAATTCCATTACCAGAAAAAGATATTTATTTTACTTTATTTTTTAAACATCTATCTTAAATGACAACTGAAAAAACTACTTCTTTTCGGAAACCAATACATTATTCTACTCCCTTTTATATCAATTCCATTACCAGAAAAAGATATTTATTTTACTTTATTTTTTGATCATCTTTTTTACAATTAAAAAAACAATTTTTTTTCGGTACCAAATTCATTATTATACTCCCCTTTACATGAATTCCATTACCAGAAAATGGTATTTATTTTACTTTCTTTTTTAAACATCTATCTTAAATAACAACTAAAACACTACTTTTTGGTATCAAATGTATTATTATACTCCCCAATTCCATTACCAGAAAATGATATAGAGTGAAGCAAAGATCTAAAAACTGAAAAATATCTAAAAAAAAACACATTTGAAACAAGAAATGTCCACTAATACCATATTAATACACCGCCTTAGCTTTCCTAGGTAAAGTATGCATCGAACTTCCAAGACAGAACCACTGCATAAGTTATGAACTCCGTTCACTTTTGCAGAGTTATAATGCAGAGTATAATAAAAGAAAATGTATTAAAAGGTGACAAGCAATGATTTGATCAAAATTTAAAATCAATTATTTTTAATTAAAAATCGAGGACATTTCGAGAAACCGGAAAGTTATCAAAAAAAAGAATTGAACAGAAATCAAATGTTGTCAATAATAGGTTAAGATAACCAATTAAAACTGCTTTATAGATTAAAAAAAAAAATCTTGGATGTTACTCTTGCAGAGGAAATGTTACCCAAAAGGTAACGGCCGAAAACAAACTCACAAGACTTGAAAGGTGGGTAAGAATTCCTTTTCAAGCAAGACAGAGATTCACTAAATTCTTTCTTTGTTCTTGCATTTAGTAATAGCTATGTCACATCTTAAAGAAAAGCTTTTAGTTAAGCATAATATGCACGCAAAATTTCGTAATAAGGTATGTAGCGCAAAATGCAAAGCAAGAATGTTACTGATGCATACAGTTGATCGCAACAGTTATAAATATAGCACATTATTTTTAGAGAAAGTTATTGCAATTAACGAAATAAATTGTCTACGAAAAAAAATACAAAATAAACCTGTAGCATAAAATAAGATTTTACTAGCTGTTGCATAAACTCAGTCGAACACAAATCCATGATGGCGGAAGATATCATAAAACTAAGTTAAAGTCATCAATTCCCATTATGACTTTAGAGAGGGAGACATCATTTATTAAGCGGGTTTTCTTTCCTTAAATGAGATTAAACGAACTGAAAAAACTTTTGATGGGACAAGGAAAAAATCACTGACATCCAGATACTATAATTATAAATTAAAGCAACATGCATAAGATTTAAGATAAGATATAAGGAAATAACTGCTAAAATATTCTAAATTTCACAACTTATAAAGTTTTGCTGTTTAGTTTCCTTTAAAAGCGTGTTGATATATAATATATTCAGTATTAAAAAAAAATTCTAAAAGTTAGAAAACGATTCAAAGAAGTTTCTTTAAGAAACCTTTTTTTCTCCCCTTAAAGTACAGATTTTTCTTAAAAACAAAAACGATTCAAAATGACAATAGCTTAAAGAATTTCTTTTTTTAAAAAAATCATTTTCTTTATTCACTTTCAAGCAGTATTTTGATCTGCCAAAAGAGATATTAAAACCCTTATTTGGTGTTGAATTGTTTGGTGATAAGCTGTTTAAAACATGAATCAAGTTTCCAAAAATGAAAGATTAAAAGAGAAAAGCAGAAAGCTGTTCTGAAAGAACAGTAATTTAATGATTTGTTTAATTAAAAAATTTCCTTCTTTTTCTCACCCTAAAAAAAGATTCTTCCTTTGAAAATAAAATAGGATGTTTCAAAAAAATCTTATACTGTGATGAGTTACGAGAGTAATATCGTATCACTTCATTATCATGAAATTATTTATTTAATGATGATAAGCTGTTTTACTATGAAAATTTGTGAAGATAATTCAGCATATTTCGAATAGAAGATGTGAATTCAAATTTTACCTACACTTCACGGTCTTTTTTGAAGATGTAATAACTATTGTGAATCGATGTACTAACTATTGTGAATCGATGGTGAATAATAATGTAATGGTTAACAATATGAATCAGGAGTAAATGCAATATATAATAAGTTTATTTTTTTTAAGAAAATTTATCGTGATCTATTTATTTTTTGCTTGGAAAAATAATTAAAATGGAACTAAAATGAATACTAAATTAATGAATAAATTAGTATGAATTAATTAAATCATGAATAAAAATAAGATTTGAATAAAGGGAAAGTAAATAGATAAAAGTTTGTATTTTAAAAATTTAAAATATATTTATAAGATTTATTTTTTTGTAGAAATTTTTCTTTCTTCTTTTGCTCCTTTTCCTTAAAAAAATTTTTTTTTGCCGAATTTGTTGTTAGTAAATTTAATCCCGAAGTTGTGTCATTTTCGAAAGAGCTTTTACTTCAAAAATAAAAAGCATTTAAACAGAATAAAATTCTTCAACATCAATAAAAGAATTTCGAGATATACGATTATTTCAAGATTAGGATTTTAAATAATAAAATATTTTAAGAAATATTTATACCATTTTTCATACAACTAGGAATAATTAAAAAGTGATTGTCCTAATTATGTAAGATAAATTAACTAAGAATAGAAGTCACATTTTGCTACACACTAGTTGCTGAAGAAAAGAAGGATTTTTTTTTTCATCACGATTATTTAACAATAGAACACTTCAATGTCCTGAATGAAGCTAGGCTGATAACAACGGGGTAATGTCTTCTTAACAATTGCTCCCCGTGTCTGAAGTTCATTAAAATATTCTATTTTTCACCAAGTAACTTAGAAGTATTGTTTAATTTCACTTTTTAAGGAGAAATTTATGACTGGGCTTGGCTCTTTTAAAAAATAATTAGGTGCAAAGTGATACAATACAGTCTAGTATTACAATAGCTTTTCAGTTCTTCTTTTTTGAGGTATAAAAAGAGCAAAAATAAAATTGCTTCTAAAATACGTTTAAATTAAGGAACATTCAATTAAAAATATTTATTCACAAAACTGCTAACATAGAAAATTTAAATATGAATGTGCTAATTTAATTAATGTGTATAGTTATGCAAAGTTAACACCATAGTTGCGTTAGTTAACAACATATTTTATTCCATAACATTGAATTAAAGTTTTGAATTTACCATTATCAAAGCTCATCTCCGAAGCCTTGTAATTCCAAACCCATCACAGAAGACAAGAGAACTCCTGGATCAAACACTGCAAGAAACTAGCTTTAGTAAAGGACTTCTGGATGGAACTAAGTCATATTTGCGTTACATAGAGATGAAAACACGAAAACCTTCCATGATCCAACGTCAAGAGAATTCTAATCTATGATCTGTCCACCATTGACGATATTTTACGTCAGCACTGTGGTCGGTGCGAGCCAGGAGCAGATTTTGTATAAACCAGTTATCACTGGGATTTGAACCTGGGTTACTTCATTGGGAGGCGAGCATTCTATCCCCTAAGACAGTAATTGAGAGGATAATGAAAAACACTATTATAATATCATCAGATGTGCTAAAAGAGATGCAAAAGGAAAATAAATGGACCACCTTGAATAATTTCTGATCTAATAATTGAATCTTCACGTTCTAGAACTTAAATTTAATGGTTGGAGGGGGTGCCCTCAAATATGAAATATGTTAATTAATTAGTGCAAATGATATTTTAAGTTACGACAGATTTTCTAGATGCGTCTATCCCCTAAAATTTGGAGATCAGAAATCCAAACCCATCAACAAAAAAAGGTATGTTTATTCAGAGAGAATACGCTTTTTTGTCTGATTTCGAAACTTAAAATATCGTCTGCATTAATTAATTAGCATATTTGAGTTCAGTCCCTAGAAACATTAAGATTAAGTCCTAGAACGTGAATATCCAATCTTTAAATCAAAACTTATTCAGAGTAACCAATTTTATTTATTTATTTATTTATTTTGCGCACTGTACATTTATACTTAGTGACTGTTTTTCGAGAGCATTGAAGGTATTTTATTTTTAAACATGAATATGATTTAAAATGCCTGAGCAAAATTAATTTATTATTGCAAAAATTTAAAATTGTAGGAATGTTACAATGAAACCTAACTTTATTTCCTAATCTAAATTTCTTAGTTTTCATCAGCTACTAAATATTACGCAGAATTTACTAATATCAGAAATTTTTTTTTAGTTCTTTAATAGAGGTTTAATAAATAAACTTTTAAATGAGAAGTACTTAAATTTATGAGTGTTTAACGCACTCAACACTTTAAAAGCTCAATTTGTATCATATTTTAAACATTTCTTCTTACATCTTAGATAATTCTCTATGTGAATAAATTAGCTAGATTGATAATTCCTAATCCCTAAATATTCTGTTTTCCTTTCACCTAAACAGAAAGTTTAAGAACATCGCATTTTTAATGAATAAAATAAAAGAAGAAAGAGGAAAGATTACAATTTCAAATACACTTTAAAATTACTTTTATTCTTCCTCAAACTTCTAATTTCACTAGAAGACGTTTTTAATGGTACGGTATAGGTTTCATCATTGATGATCGATCAAGGACAAATTTTAACCATTATTTTGCTGTGGGAAAAATTTGTCCTTTCAAACCTTTGTTAATTGCATTATTAATTTCGTGTCAAGGATGGTGCAATTAGTCTCTTCATGTACAAAGGAAGCAAAGGGGTGTGGGTTAAACCTTACACCATCTGAAACATTAATGATAGATTACCCTTACTAATAACAGCCTGTTTCAAGTGCAAAATCTTCCAAAAACGTTCTATTAAAGACTTGTTTGACAGTGTAGGGGTGCTTGTGCAACGGGCAAGGCAAAATGAAATTCTTCCCCTCAGACCACACCACAGGACACACCTGAGGTAAGTAATATACCAATATGTCATCATCTTGACCCATTAAACCTGGACGAACACCACAATCAGAAATCGAACAAAAAAGAAAAGTGTATAGCTCTCGGCAGTTATTGATTAGTTTTCAGAACTGGTAGCGGTAATATTCTAAAGGAGGGTCTTCCCCACGCCCTCGCCTCTCTACTCTGCCAGACAAAGACCGAGACTACCGATAATTACAATAACAAAAGAATAAAAATAAAAGAAAGTTTTGTTTCAGACTGAAATAAGTGGGGTAGAGTGTTGTGACCCAGTGTGGATGGAAGGAACGAATAGCCGGATGGACAGGATTGAAACATCTCCTCCCTCTGTTTGACCTCCACCCTGTGTTCGATGAGTGTATAAAAGGGATGAACACTTTCATCTTCATTCATCCCGCTTTTTGAATCCTTCGTTAAGTTCCTACTTTTAATCCTTGAAGCAATTACCATGATCGCCAAGGTAAGTTTGGACATTGTTTTTTTGGCAGTTTTTATCTGGGAGTTGTTGTTTAAGAGGGCGCTATATCGCTGGAGATATTTTCCATGGTGATTTCGTTTCACCTTCATTGTTATTTTCAAATTTAAAGCTTAGAGAAAAGTGAGTTCTGATAAACCTAGAGTAAACCATAAAGCTTCAAATGCTGAATAAATGCTTTAAAAATGAAAGTAAATTATTGCAAGATTACTTCCTGTCTGTGTAATCCAGAGTAATCCAGCCATAATTTGGATATTTTGAATTTTTTGAATTTGGAAATTGTGATTTTTTTTTAGCATTTGAAACTTTATGATTTACTCCAGGCTTACATGAACGTATTTTCTCTGTACATTAAATTTTAAATTACTTACGTAGGTGAAAAAGAACATGCCATGAATGTGTTTGTGGTAAAGCGATCTTTTAAATCCATATTTGGAGTTTGTTTATCGACCGAATTAGCTCTCTGTACTGCAATAACTCTCAAGAAACCGTATTTTGAAAATTAATGCGAGGCAAGGTTAATGCTACCTAATTAAAGAAAAAAACTAAAATATGTTCTGATCAAATTGAACCTCAGTATTGTAATCGACTGATTTAGAGTCTCTGTTCTGCAATAACTCTCAAAAACAGCATCTTGAAAATTTATACGGGGCAAGTTTAATGCTACCTGATTAAAGAAAAAAACTAAAATATGTTCTGATCGAATTGAACCTCAGTATTGTAATCAAATTTAAGAAGTACAATAATGTTGTTCAACATATCAAGATTTTAAGCTTTCGGCAAACTATGTTACATGGTGCAACGCACTTGAAGAATTGATTAGTAAAGCAAGTAATCAAGTTTCTAACATGTAATGAAAATGTGGAAAATTGTAATTTTGCATTACAGAAATTAATTTATTTGAAATAACATAACGAATATGACGTAAATTTATATCAAGAAAAATCCCATGCATTTAAATAAAGAGAAAATTCGTTCTCGTATAAAAGTATTCAATTTTAAGTGAAGACTATTAATCAAAATATCCTTTCGTTGCTCCACAACATTTGTTAACTAAAATAATTCCGAATAAATTGTTGGAGCCGAAGTTTTTTTTTAACGCTTATGTTAAAGCATAGGAAACTATTACTGTGGAATAATTTATAAATCAAAAATTGCTTTTGATTATTAATTTTTAAATATAATACTTCGAAACATCAAAAAGAACACTACGTTTTGAGCAAACGATTTTATAAATGATTTTAGAAATAGTTTTCAAATCTTGTAATTTAAAGTTTTCTGGGAAAGTTGGTCAAATCAGGTATTTTAGAAAACTTAATTCTAAAGCAATAATATTTTAAATTGATTTGAAATTTAATTTTATCATTGCTTATAAAATACGTATGTTCGTCTGTACTTTAAAATTAGCAATTTTTTTTAATAAAATTTATTAAAATTTTTATTTTACTCAAAATTTTCTACATTAAAATTCATTACTTCAATACCAAAAATATAATTTTACTTAAAAATAAAATGTCAGAAAATTAATTAAGACTTAATCACATATGAGTTTGGTAGAAAGGAAATAAATATCGATATCAAACTGTATTGTTCATAAAATTAAAGCAGAAAAACTTTTATTTCTTATTTTTTAATCATTTTAATTCATACCTACAAAAAATGTCTATTGTAAGAAGATAGTATGGATTAATATAAATTATAGGAAATATGTGAAAAGAATAAAATTTTTTCCTACATAACGGTTCTGTGCATACCGTATGCGATTTTCAAAGTTAGAAATCTAGGAAGACTTAACGTTACAGTCTTTTATAATCATTACAATACACTGGAAAAATAGTTAAAACTTCTGATTTAAAATGTACCAAATAAAATACACCACAACAGATAAAATTACATTGAATTGAAAACTAATTTATGTTATAAAATGTGAAGAAGATGGCTTAATCGCAGAAAAACAAAATCAAATAAAAATATATATTAAAATTAAATCAAAGTTAAATTTACATTTTTATTATTATTTATCAAAATATTAAATATTATGTTTTGAAATTGTATTTGTTAGTAACTATTTTAATGTAGTAATTGTAGTATGTTTGTTAGTAATTAGTTTTAATTTAATTTTTTTAAGAAATGAAGTGTTTAAATTTTTTTCAGACTATAAATTATGATCTAGAAAATGTAGAAAATATGACTATAAGACTTTTTCAAGACAAAATAAGGCCGTTTCGTAATACATTTAAAATTAAATTTTACCAAGTAAACCAGACGATAAAACGTGTGAAAATTTGTTTTTTTCATGACACGAGAGGTAACTCGGAGTGAGAAATTATATGGTGAAAATAAGTGTTATTTACTGTGTAATTTATGAGCTAATCATTCAAAAAATATAACCGAAATATAACAAATATATCATGACGAAATTTTTTTGCACTGTTAGTCGTTAAATAGAGTTAAATAAAGGTATGGTAAATATGTCTTGCTATTCAATTCTTTTTTGCTTATTTTGTTCGCTCTGGTAAAGGGAAATATTTGTTTCTAAAAGCAATAATTTTATAACAATAATGGCAACAACAAAAAAATATATATATTATATAATTCTCGCTCCAAATTATTTACTGATCAGTCTGATTAATTTCATAGTGCTTTCTGAAAAAAAAACTTCGGTTACGTCAATTGTTCTGGAAAAAATATTGTAATGTAAGAACTTGTGCATTTATGAATAGTTAAAAAGTTTCATAAGTTCCGAAAATGTCCCATTGTCTCCGATGCCTTCTCATGGGTTTAAAAAATCAAGTCTTGAGAATAAAACTATGGTAAAAGTGTTATCAACTAATCATCTAGTTCGAAAAAAATGCTAAAATAAGATTTTTATCATGAGCTCTAAATTGCAGTTTCGCTTAATGGGATATATACAAAAAAACATTATAAAATAATATCTATTTAGCTATTTCTTTTAACATAATCATATTAAGCTGGAAAACAAATCGTAAATACTGTCCCTTTTTTTGCGAGAAAAAAAAGTAATAAAAACAATTATTCTTTTCTCGCTTTACTTCTTATGTTTACAAAGGAGAACAAATTTTTTGTTGCTTTTATATAAATACTTGATCTTGCATAATTTATGACTACGGATTCCTAGTCTGAAATTAGTCTTGCTCTTGAATCTACTGATTTTTCTTTAAAAATAACATTTTTATTCCTTTCTTGTCAAAATGTAGAAGCTAAAAATCGTCGTATATAAAAGGGGGAAACGTTGATGTTTCGACAAACATTTTGGGGAGTTAGGCACATTACAGAATTAAAATGGCATAATAACCCATGCTCGAAAATGTCATCATACACCAAGAGAGGCTCTTCCCTATCATGAAGAGATTTTTCGTGTGCGTCTGATCAGGTCATAATAGGGAAGAGCCCCTATCAGTAAATGACGACATTTCAGTGTATGATTCCTGTGCAAATTTAATCCTGATAATGTGCTTTAACTTAGTTTGTCGAACATTTATGCGATCCTCTGTTATATTTAACATTTTTAAACTTATAGATTTCGACGAAAATTAGACTAAAATGTCATTTTTAAAAAAGTCTGCAGATTGGAGAAAGAAACTGATTGCATATTTGAAATCAGCAATACGAAAGTATCTGAGATCTGTTCAAAAATCCTGTGCCTCAGAAAATTTGTTCCCCAGTATAATTTAGAAACAATTTAGAATTACATTCAGAATATCAACAATTCAGAATTTCCTCAATATTACGTAAAATAGACAGAGCTGTATTTTCTTATATTATTTTCTAAATAAAGTTTATGCATGAAAGCTGAAATTTTGAGTTTTGATATAAAGACGAAGTTTCGAGAGTAACTGATATAACATCCAAACAAATACACACTTATTTCTGATAACTTAATATTTTAACAAAAAAAAAAACTAAAGTTAATAGTTGTTACATATACAAAAGCTAATACTCCAGATATTAAAACACGATTTAGGAATATGGTTTGTATTATTTAAATAAAAGATTTCCTACCATGATGTACTCTCGAAATCTTATTGTGATAGGCAGTTGAACTAAAATCATTCATTTATGTAAAGCGTGTAGAAAGAATAACTTAGTAAAAAATAACTTAAAAGAATAATAACAAGAATAACTAAAAAGTAGAACACTCACATTTACATTCATTGAAGACATTAGAATAGATTTAAAGAAATGAACTGTTATTGACCTTGATACATTGTTATAATAATTAGTCCAGTGCTTCTATTTGTGATTGATTGGATATATTTGATGATGCAAATGCATTAAGATTTACATAAACCTTTTGTTATCTAATGTTCTAAAATAATAAGGATCTAAAAAACGTAAGAGCTTTCTAATTTTACAAAGAAGGTTATTTTATTAGATCAAGTACTGATTTAAAAAGCAGGTTTTTTGTCGCTAAGGAATCTGAAAAATATATTCATCATTGAGTATTATTTTAATAAAATTAGTTCATAATAATCATTATCAGTTGCTGTTCTAATACATTACGAAAATTATCAGAAAACTGGTGCTCAAATGCATCAGTTTAAAAATATTTATTTCTTTATAGTATACACACATAGAGTATTCGGATCTAGTAATCACATATACTATTCATACATGCGTAAAGGGATTCCAAAATTAGGATTTAAAATCTTTTCTAGAAGGTATAGATCAGTCTTACTAGAAATATTTTTTAAGAACTTCAGGCGCAATTTGTTCAATGTTTCGGATGTTAATAGTTATTTACGTTAAACTATATTCACTAAAAGTTAAAATTCACCAAAAAAATTATCATTACTTACGAAGCGAGTTGCCCTTTCTAAAAACAAATTAATTGAAAATATTCGAAAGAAAGATAAGATTTAAGTTTTTATTTTTTTGAAAATTACATATCAATTCGTCAATGATTGATTTTACCACAACATTATGCTATTATTATGCACTCAATTGCGTTGAATATCTAAAATGATTATTAAATCAAACACCGTCACTTTTTATCTATCATAGGTAAGTTTCAGTTTGTTGCATTTATTACGTACTTTAATATTACGCAGAGAAAAGTAGATAAATGATTTTATACAATTACGCAAAATCACATAATAACATTTTAAAAGCATAGAAAAAAATTATTTAAGATTTACAGAATTTACAAGTGAAAAAAAAATCTTTTTCACCATTTTTAATTTTTATAACTAAACAATATCGTAAAATTTTAATATTTATTAAACCTTTGACACAGAATTTTTATTAAACATATTTCTCATTATTTTTTTTATTATTTTGTATTAGTTTAGCATTTCAATCAATTATGGTTACAAAGTACAGCATGCAACATCGGTGTTGTTAAAGATAAAAATTTTCAAAAACGGACAATTTCCGAACAAAAATTTTTCACATTTGCATTTGGATCTAGGGGAAGCAGTTAATCATCATTGAAATTACTTTTACTTACAAAGTTAAGTATTGATAAATTTTTTAATATGAAGGAAAATAAAAATTCTTGAACTTTTTTTTTTGGGATTTTACATTTAGGAAGAAATATACTTCTGATATAACAGCAGATTTTTTAAATAACTATTAAACTGTTTTTTATGATCAGGAATAACCAAATATGTTTTTGAGAGTCAGAAAAAAAAATATGTAAAAATGATACCAGTGTCCCATCTGTGTCAAAGAGTTAACAAAATATTGAATAAAAAGTCTAATTTTGACTTAAGTACAAAATTATATAATTTAATTAAACAATTATAAATTAAATAATATTTATACTTAATAGATTGAATAAATCGAAACTGGTGATAAAAATTATTGAAGGAGATTTATCCTCAATTTAGTTGTTTATAATAAAAATTCAAAAATGCTAGAGCATGCGATATGATGTGCCAGAAATTCCAATTGTTTAAACTGATAAATTTAATAAGTTTTTTTTTTTTATCAGAATAAGCCCCTTGATGGAATTTTGAGGTGGCTTAGCAAAATGGATGTTTATACAATGCCAAAACACAGAAGGTGAATAGTAAAACGCATTCATCGATTTTCTGAGAAATATATTTCCAATTTATATTATTATTTTTTTGTTTGGCAACGATGACAAACTGCCGCATCTGTCTAACTTTCTAATTTATGCATTTAAATTAGCTTCTTAGATTGTTTCTATTAGCCTTGCGTCTATTACATTACTTCTATTACATTGCGTCTACGTTTATGTGTATTATTACAGAAACTATAGCAAATTGTAAATATGGATACAAATTTCCTATATTCTTATATTCCTAAGTTGTGGTAGAAGAGAACTTTAAAATTAAAGTTATATTATTATAATTATTATACATAGGTGTCAAAATTATATTGGTTCTTATGTGTAGTAGCTTGAATTTTTAAATTTTAAAATTATCTTAATTAATCTTAGTATCTATATTTTTAAATTTCAAAAATTGATTTTAGTAATTTGCTTTTATTATTGACTATTAAAGAATAAATTTGCAATTAAAAGAACCAATGATTTTTTTCAATATTAATTTTTTGCAATGAAAGAAAATCTTAGACATTTTTAATTAGTCTGACTTTGTCCCATTATTAAACTTCTATTAAAATTGTTTATGCTTTGGATAATAATAATATTTGAAGTCTGTTTTTTCTAATTTCCTTTCTCTTAAGAAAAGAAGTAATAAATTAAAACAAAGAAAAGTAATTGCCGTTACGTTACAAATAATATTTGCCATGTTCATACATTATTATAATTGCTTTGGTGCCAGTCATAAATATTTGTTAAAATATCATCAGTCAAAAATATTTGTTAAAATATCCTTTTTTCTCTCTTCGTATTGAAGGCATTTTCACCATGAACTGATGGAAATGCTGCAAGTGAAAAATAATAATATTTAAAAACGTTATGATATTTATCACATATTTCTGATATATACCAAAGCGGGTACATGAGTATTTATGTTTACTAATATAAATATATCAGTGTAAAATTTTTAATCTACTAATCAAGGGTTTCTGAGTTTAAATCAATAGAGTCTAAAATAATAATTAAATGATGGCCGACTTCTTTATTTAATTTGAAATATTACAATTATCAATATCAGTTTGTTTAAGAATTCTTTACTATTCTACTCCCTTCTCCAACTGATTCTTCAGTTTCATTCGTCATACCGTTTTTCTGTGGTGCTGCCATCTATACATAGAAATGATTATTACCACTAGTCGTCCATTCACCTTCTGAAAGATGGAGCCACTAAATAATTTTTAATTCAAGCCATTATGTGAAAAATCATTAGATTTAATTCTTTTATAGTTAAATTATTTAAATCATAGTTATTTGTTTGTTTTTACATCATCTGTTTAAAGAAGAAGGAAAATTTCACCACTATTATTAATTAAAGACAAATATTCCCGAACATTTTGATGAGTTGCGATTTAAATTTAAAGTATAATCACAAAAATTTCTTCTTTCTTATAGATTTTTCTGCTTTCTGCTGTAGTGGCAGCTACATATGCACAGTATGCTGCCCCATATCCTCAACAGTACGCTCCAGTTAAATCAGAAGAGATAAAGGTGGGTGTACTGAAAATATTTTTTTTATAAATATTGCTAACATTTCTGTATTCTAAATTTTAAACAGAGTCAAGAAAGAATTGATATTATATGCAAGAAAGCGATTTCTAGGTACTATTTCTAAGCAATTGTACGAAACAATGCGTATTTCTTGGATGAATTAGAGAAATCAAGCTAAATTTGCCTTTATTTTCCTTTTTAACTATTAATATACTGAAAATTGACGTATCATAACTACCGTAGGCGATTCAAATTGAGTTACTTTTCTCTACATGTTTAGAACATTTACTTTAAATCATATTGTTTAACTACTATTGTCAATTTTTGAGATTATTTCTGATATTATTTTTCATCTTAATTTTCATCTTAACTCAGACACTTATTTCCAGTTTATTTATCAAAACTATATGTTACTCTGCTCTTTCTCAATTTTAGTTCTGATATATATGTTGACAAAATAATTTCTGATAACTTCTCCAGACAATTTATTCTTGGTTTAGATATAAATAAGTATTTTACGTGCACGTCTTTGTCTATTTAAATTCCCTGGATCGCTTAAGTATTTATTAATTCTGAACGGACCAATGCCGAAAAATGAACGGCTAGACACTTACACTCACTATTAAGACAAATACTGCGCATATGATAACTAAAATAATTTTGTTTTTTTATCACACTATCAATTTAATTGTAATAGTTATCATTAATCATTACAATAATACCTGATAAACTTGATAATAATACCTCATAATAAACTTGCAATAATGTCTGAGAAACTCATGATAAACTTGAAAAACTTCCGGACGTTAAAAACATATCAGTTATATTGCCGAGTCACGATATGTTTTTTTATTTTATGATGAACTCCAGCAATATATTTTCGGAATAGTTTAGTATACATTAAAATGTATGACAGATTCTATGTTTTTTTTTTCTTAACAAAACGCTTTTATTTTTATTTTTTGAATTCTACTTTAAATTTATTTTGAAATAACTACAGTAGTCTCGATAATTCGAGGAGGACGGAACCGAGCCCACCTCGAACTTTCGAAAACTTGAATTATCGAAAACGTAGAATTTAAGAAATATTTAAATAAATGGAAACAATGCTATTTCTAAATTTCAGTATTTAATTGAAAAATATATCATATTTAAAGAAAATTTATTTACATTAGATGATCAGGGTACATTCACTGCATTACATCAAGTTTCAACATTCTTTATATTACTGCATCAGATTAATTGTACTTTAAATTACTGTCTAATGGTTTTTGTTTAAACTGTTCACATGTTTCAATGTTTAATACACAAACTTGTTTTTAAACATTCAGTCTCAGTAATTGCCGTAAAGCCAATCGTAGTAATCGTTCCACATGTTGTGTCTCAGTTGGTCATTGTTTGGGAGCAAGACTGATTTTTTTTCACTAGCTTGGATTTATAGGAAACTCGTTTTTTTTTTATTACAGCGGCCATGCCAAAACAAAAGAACATCTTCATATCTCTTAATTATGTGCAATTTTCTAGTTATTAAGGCTCAATTTTGGATTTGCTTATTTGTGAAAATTTTAAGTTACAAAATCAGAAGAAAAAAAACGTACTTTACCTGATATAAAATTTGATTCATTTAGATTTTGATTGATTTTGATTCTCAAAATGTGGTGAACTAGACGTTCTATTGAAAATATAGATTTAGAAGTGAATTATAATTTGCATTCCTCGTGTTAATTTTACAATTAGTTTTGTATATATTGGAAACTGTTTCACTGAATAAAACACATTCCCAAAACTACCAGAATACGGTAAAATTTACCATGTTTCTGGTTCTATGTGAACACCAAAAGGCTCTGTAACTTTTAAGGAAGCGTAACGATTTTGTTAAAATTAACCGTAAAATATTATTTTACATTAATTATTATATATTTATATTTATTATTAATGATTATTATACTGTTTAAAATCAGGCATATGCGTTTAAGTTGATATTTTTATAAATATGTCTTAGAGCATGGCATAAAACTCTTTTCTTTAGTTAAATTTATTTTTAAGTTTCAACTAGTTATTTAATGAGTGGTACTGAGAACTAAAGTTTTTAAAACCAGAATTGCCAGTAAACTGTTAACATATGAACAGAAAAATTACCAAATTAATGGTGATCTACCGTATATTTTGGTTTTTATTGCCAGAATTATGCTTTTTCTTCTTCGTTTTTTTAAATTTTTTTTTATACCGAAACGTCATTATTATATAGCGCTGTAGTTTCACCAGAATTTCTTTCTTCATGTTAAGTAAAATCAGAAATTTTTGAAAACAATGATGAAACTTATTTGACAAAAGATGATCTTTAAAAAAAATTTTTTGTTTGTTATTTATTAATTAATTCAATGATGGTAAAAAAAAGCTTTAATAGAGAGGTGTAGAAACTTTAACATCATTATGAACTACATAATTTTGAACGATAATATCCAAATCGGTTGCATATTATTTCTTGAGAAACTAAAATTTTAAATATTTCATTTTAAATTTAATTAAAAAAAAATTTTTCTCGCTACATAAAAAAAATAACCAATATTTCTGATAATAAAAAAATTCAATTATTCAAATTAAAAGTCTTGTATTTAAACGTCTTTTATTAAATTTTAATAACTCTTTGAAATTACAGTACCCACCACAACCTTACCAATTCGGATATGACAGCAATGATGAGTACGGCACAACTGCTTTCCGAAAAGAATCGGGAGATGGCAGTGGAAGAGTACAGGGAAGTTACGGTTACAAAGATGCTCAGGGTATTGAAAGAGTTGTTGAATACGTAGCTGATGAAAATGGATATCGAGCTCAGGTAAGGCGTAATTTTTTTTGAAATTGTTTCGAATAATTCAAATTTTGATATATTCGCACATTCAAGCGATTTTACTATTTAAATTCATGATATTTACAAAGGAAAACATGCGATATAGAACTACATGAATTTCATTACTTTTTTACGAATAGCATTTGCGTTTTTCCTTCCTGATTATAGTTACATTTCCTATTTCTCTAGAAATATAAAAAATTGAGGGAAAAAAGTCATACAGTACAGAGCAAATATAAAGTATTAATATAATTTGATATTTCTTCTCTGTAATTTCAAATAAGTGATGACTTATGCTAGAACAAAATCATATTTTTTTTTTTAATTTTCATGAAGATATTAAGAGAATATCAGTCATTTTATAAAATTTTTCTGTAAATTTAATACAAATGTTTGATTAATAAAAAATTCAGATAAAATTTCCAATAACATTGAATATAACTGAATAGAGTCCAATAACTGAACAAAGTTTGTTGATAAAAGTTTTGTTCTAGAAGATAATGAGAAATAAGTATCGAAGATTTTTATTTAATTTAATTTTATGTATAAGAAATCGCTGTTAAGATTTACAGCAAATAAAATAATGTAGATAAAATGCCTCCTTGTATCAAAGATAAAATTCAGACAACAGTAGTTCATGCACTGTGCACAAAAAAATAAATAAATAACGGACCACCCTGAATAATTTTTGATCTAATATTTGGATCTTCAAGTTCTAGGACTCAATCTTAATGGTTCTGAGGGTGTTCTCAAATATGCTAAAAAATTAGTTACGAAATTGTAAATTAATTTATGAAATTTGACACAAAAAGCACTTTCCCTGAATAAATATACCTGTCTTTCGACGGATTCAGATTCCCCCAAAATAGAGTGGGTAGCCGCAATCTGGGAAGTATGTCCTCATAATTTGGTCAGGAGAGCGATCCAAAGTTTGGACCCCTTAACGTTAATTTTACTTTTTGCATATGACACCATATCTCGGAAATTTTTTAAGCGAATTTGAAAGATTAATTTGAAAGATTCACATAATTGTAAAATTCGCTTATCTAAAGAATATTTTATACTAAAAAATTTTTAATAAAGATTTATTATTTTTTATGTTTTTATTTAATACTAGTCCAAAAAAATTGAATTGTAAGATATAAAATGTTTTACATCATTCCAAAGTTTGCAACTTTAAGTGCAAAATACAAAATTTGAGCAAAATCGGTTGAATAGCTCCTGAAAAATCGAATTGTAAAGAAGTCGTATTTTGAAAATTCGATTATGATTTGTTGGACTGTACTGTTGAAAGTAATGCATATTTTTTTTTCTTATTAAGAACCAATCAAAAGTGAACAGTCTAATTCAATTTTCGGCTAATTAATATATAATCTCCTTTATTGTAGTCTTACCAATGTCTATGGTGTCAAATTAATACTAATAAAAATATTTGTGTGTGCTGTTAAATTCTTAACAAATGAAACCAAATTATAATAATTTGTCCGGAACTGCCGTTCAATATAAAATTTATAATTTTTTACCAATATTTAAAATAATGTCATATTTTAAAACCAACATTCAACAATTAGGAAATAAGTTTAGAAAAATAAATGCAAAAATGGTAATTTTACGCTAGAGAAAGCAGTTCTTTTTAAATCGCTTTTGTGAGAGTTTGATTTAATAACACCTCTATAAACATCTCTTATATATTGTATTTAATCTACTTATTATTGCACACATAATACGGGTAGTTTCATTCTATATAAATATTACTTTCACATTTGCAGCTAATTTTCCTATATAAAAGCAATATTTTACAGTTTATTTAATTAAATTTTTTTATAGTTTAAATTTTAATATTACATACTCCTAATATTTTAGATTATAATAATCAAATAGATTTGTAATATACAAGATAAAAAATGTTTGATAGTATTTTAAACTATACAAACATTTTTAAAACCGCATTTGTCGCATTAACTTGAAATGATTACAGCAAAGTCTTTTCTAAAAAGAGTTTTATTTAGATATTGTATTAAAAGTAGAAATCAAAGCTAATTCAATTCCGTTTAAATAAAGTGCAACCATCGCAGGAATAACTAAAATTCATTTAGTGAACCATTGTTTTCATATACTATTTTTTTCTTCTTTTTAATAAATTATGCTGCAAATCTTTCCTAAAGCTGTATTTTGTAGAATTAGTAAGTAATTTCAACATTGTTTATTGAAGAAAAACGATAAAAAATAATAAAATGCGCGTAAGAATGCACTGACAAAAAAATTACGATCAAAAGTACTCGGAATATGGTAAAATTTACAGTGTTTCCGGCTCTGGGGGAACCACCAGAAATCTCGGTAATTTTTACCGCAATGCTCTGGTAATGATTTTGGTAAAATTAGCAACAATGTATAGTAAAATTTGGTAATTTCCTCATGATACCTTAGAGCACGGCATAAAAACCCTTTACTTGCTTAAATTTGTTTTTTTAACACTAGATTGTCGGAGGAAGTCATTTTGACTGTTTTTTAATTTGAGTTAGAAAAACAACGATGTATATAATGACACAATTTCTTAGAATTTTNAACTAAAATTCATTTAGTAAACCATTGCTTTCATATACTATTTCTTCTTCTTTTTAATAAATTATGCTGCAAATCTTTCCTAAAACTATATTTTGAAGAATTGATATGCAGTTTCAACATCATTTAGTGAAGAAAAACTGTTAAAAAAAAATAGTTGATAAAAAAATTACTAACAAAAGTACCTGGAATATGGTAAAATTTACCGTTATTCTTGCTTCAGGCGACCACCAGAAAGGTCGGTAATTTTTACATAAATGCTTTGGTAATGATTTTGGTAAAATTAACAGCAATGTATGGTTTCATAGCATATAGTGAAATTTGGTAATTTCATCATGATATCTTAGAGCACGGCATAAAAACCATTTATTTGCTTAAATTTATTTTTTTATTACATATTATTTTTTACTAAATGTGTGGTAAAAAGAACTATAATTTTGAAAACCGGAATTTGCAGTAAACCTTTTCTCGTATGAACGGAAAAATAACCAAATGAATGGTTTAAATACTATAAGTTTTGATTTTATTAACCAGAATTATATATCTTTTTTTTTTCTTTCAAAAGCGTCCTTACCGTACAGAATGATAGTTTTACCAGATTTTTTTCCATGTCTGTGCTAAATTATCAACTTTAGCAAGTGTGTTGTTCAGAAATAAGATATATTAAATACTTCATAAAAAATGCTAAAAAATTTAATAAAGGACAATTTCGAGATTTATAATGAAATGCTTTCTTAAAAAATATAAAATGAAATAATAATTATCTGTTTTTGATCATTTTTCCTATAACTTTTGGGGACTTAGCGTCTAATAAATGTGATAACTTTTGGTACACTTTTATGACTTAAAAAATAGTATTTTAATAATTTTTAATCAGTTTGTATGCCTTAACAAACCGTTTGTCTATGTAAAAATTGGATTGGATTTATCTTTGCTGATTGGAGCTTTGAATTTCAATAAAAAATTATAAGAAAGGTAAGAAATTCGGTTCAAGTAATCGTTCTGTCAGTTTGATGGTATATAAATATCTAATTATTTTAGTCTAGGGGATTTTGTTCATGAAAAATGCGATAGTTAAAAACAAGTAATAAAATTTATTAAGTTTAATTAATATTTAAAAAACATATTTTATTGCATTTATGAGTTTCTTCTAAGCTGAATATTTCTATTTAAAAATCACATTTTATGTCATTATTTAACACTCAGGTTTTAGGAGTATAAATAAGAAACCTATATGTGAAAAAAGCTATTTTTTTGTGGTTATTTACTGCACTTATAAACATAGAAAGACTTGCTTTATCATAAGCTGCAATTATCTGAATTGTTCAAATTAATACAAAACAAGTTGAGTTTTAAATATTTAGAAGGAACATATGATTGGACATCCTAAATTTTAATTGCTTTAATATACTGTTGCAATTTACATTTCTTTGCTTGAAAACTGTAATTTTGTGGAATGTTTTGAAATTATAATTAAAGAAAATTAATATAAACTTTGAGGAAATAATTTTTTATGTGTTGAAAATATTTGCTGTTTTTGTGAGTTTTATACATTTTCTATTTTGTATTATGTATCTAGGTGGGTGTATATATTTGGTGTTTTGAATATTTAATATAATTTTTATTCTTAAAAAAAGATAAGCTGATTAGTATGGAAGATTTTTTTTCGAAACTTCTAAATCATTTATAAAAAATATGACTTTTATAATAATTTTTTTAATGTAATAAATGCAGAAAAATCATTTAAAAAATTGTTTACTAATTTTAATTTTAGTACAATAGTATCCTAAATAATCTTGAAATAAATATTATTACCATTGTCTTTAAAATATTTTAACGTGAACTTATGACAATTAAGAGGCATTTAAAATTTGTTATCTTTCAATAATCTTGTCATTTTTTTTCTCTATAATTTTTTTCATAATAATATATTTTTATAAATAATTTTCACAATGAGACAGGACTTAAACTATCTAGCATAAAATATTTAATTTGTTTTAGGTAAAAACCAATGAACCAGGAACTGAAAGCAAAAGCCCTGCTGATATTGAACTCTACGCCAATCCCATCCATGTAAATTATGTACCACCACAGAAATATCAATCTGTTGATGCTGCCTACAAGCCCCAATATTAAGACAATGACTGGTTCTTTTATTCCTTCATCTGAGGTAAGTAATTTGAGATTGGTGTATGCATAGTGTTCTGTACAGACCACTATTAATATATAATTTTGAAGCACTTGCAAAAAAGCCAAAAATAGAAAAATAGAATAATTTTGAAGCACATTAGGTGCCTTCAATTAATATTTGAAAAAAAAACGTAAATTAAGAGTCACTAATGAGGAAGGCGGGATTGAAAACATCAAAATCAGATTGATTGCCGAAGGAAACAGAGAGAGCTGAAATGTTTTCTTTTAAAACATCTCTCAGACAATCGAACTAATTTGGTGTTTTTCTTCCTATCTTCTTTGCTAATGATTCGACAGATTTCGATATCCGTCGAATCATTAGTGAGATTTTGANTATTTTAAAATGAATTTAAATTACTTTTAATTACAGATAAGCTATCATGAATCTTTATTACTTTAAATATTTATGAAATTTAAAGTAATTATTTTAAATATAAGTTGTTGAAATATTATTATTTATTTTTAAATTAAATAAAAAATCTTGATAAAAAAATAAAAAAATATTGATATTTTTCTATTTTCCGCAACAAACTTTTGCTTTTTAGTTTCAATGAAATAGAAAAACTTGTATAAAATTTATGAATAGAATTTTGTAATTATATTTTTTATCACATTTATACTGTAATCTGATTAAAGGTTTAAATTTAATTAGCATTTTAATAATTAGAAATAAATAAAAATACTTGGGAAGTATAAAAATGAGAAGAAAGGCATTAGCAAGACGTATTAATGGAATATAAGTTTATAAATAAATTATTTCATAACACGAAATTAAACAGACAGAAATAAATAAAATTCTCTTTGAATGAGTAAAACATTAAAATAAAATTTTGATTTAATTATTGAAACTGTGTATTCGAAATATATAATATTATTAATTTATTTCAGAGTACTCATGTTTTGATTGGACGTTCATCCCTACCTGAAAAAGTATTTATTTGATGTCTAGCTCTTTCAATTATGGCTGCTAAAATGGCATTCAACGAATGCACGGCTTATTCTGAATCTATTGTCAGATTCATTGTTACTTAACTCTTTTTTCTCACCTTGACGTTTTATAAAAGAAAACATTTCGATTTTGTGTATTCATCTGTTATAAATAAATTTATTCGAAAAGAAAGTAAAAAGTATTTTATTGCGTGTGTATTTATTGTAAGCAATAATTAGTTCAATAAGAGAAATGAAAGCTTTGTCATAATCGTGGCTAATATGACACACACATGACATCACAGCTAATATGACACAGTGGCTAATATGACACCACAGTAAAATGATAAGAAAAAAAATTAGGACTTTAAAATGTTTTTTACGCAACAGTAAAATTAAAAATTTTAATATGTCTTTAACTTGGGTTACAGGAATTATATGATATATGTTATTCCTTTTGCGTTTCTGAATGAAGCAGAATGTCAGTATTTTCAAGAACTATAAATTTATTAAAAAGTTATTAAAAGTTTCCAGGAGAATAAGTATGTTTTAAGTTTTTAAAAGTTTAATGAAAACATAATATAGATTTCAAATTATAGATTTTAATATTTTTGATATCGTTTAATCATAAAATGAAACATCCAAATGAAAAAAGTTTCTGAAAGACAAACCCAAAAGTATCTTTACGTTTTCAGCTTGAGAAAGTACTTTTGGATATTAATTAACCTAAGTTGAGGTTTATAGCTTTAACTGAAGACTAAAAATTTCCCCTGGTTTCCTCAATAAAACTATTTGGTTATTTATAGTATTTTTATTTTTAATAAAACTTTCATTTTTTTCTTCAAATTTCCAAATTATTTTTTCTTAAAAATTTTTTTATGATAAATTTTATCATAAAAAAAAAAAAAATTATCATAAAAAAAAAATTTTTTATGATATTTTTCTTAAAAAGTTTTTGATTTGTACAGTTTAACATTAGCCATTTGCCATAAAACTGAACCACATACCACAAGACTTAGCCACATCACTGAGAAAAAACTACGTTTAAAACTACAGTATAAGGTAAAATTTACTGTGTTTCTTGCTCTATAAGAACACCAAAAAGCTCGGTAATTCTAACTGAAGAGCTTTGGTAGGAATTTCGGAAAAATTAACCATGGATTTTTATAATGAGTGATAAATTTTGGAAAAGGAAGTAAAGTTGAGTAATTTTATCATGATGTTACCATATTAATGGAAAATCTATCAAATGGATGCTTTAAATATCGCATATTTTAATTTTTTTAACCAGAATTATTTTTTTCCTTTTTACAAAAAATGTCATTATCATATAGTATCATATCATATGCGGTAATTTTACCAGAATTTTTTCTCCGTGCTTAGTTAAGTTTTCTTGACAATAATCTTAGAATTAAAAATGGTGCGAATTATCAGGGTTATTTAGGATTATGTGGGATAATTATCATTGGCTTATTTGTACTCTAAAATAATCTTTTTCGCTCAATACATACCCAAAAAAAATCTAAGGAGCTTGTATTTTTTTGGTATTTGGAAACATTGAATGAAATTTCATAGTAATCTAGAGTTATCTATACCGTTACAAAACATTTTGATAAATTATACCCATGTTACGTCTAAAATCTCATTTTTATTTCCGATTATTTTAACATTTCAAGGCAGTATATAGTTTCCGAAATTCGCTAAAAATTGAAACCATGAAAATGACAGCAAGAACAAACTATAATACGGAGCGTTAATATAATTTTTTCTAAGTAGTAATCATTACAGCATTGCTTAGATTGAAATTCTTTTAAGTTTGACTTGCGAACTTAATTTCAAATTTAGGACAGAATGAGAAAAATCAGAACTTAGATTTACTTTATTTTTTTTGTTTAAATTAATAATATATATATTTCGACACAATGTTAAAGTATTAAAAATCTATATTATATAAAACGCTAATACGTATGTATCAATGAAACCGATGGTATTTCTTTTCTCGCGTTGGCAACAGTTTTCATTCTTAATTGATAGGCTTCGGCGCGCAAGAGCACGTAGTGAGCATCATATGTCTAATCGGGTGAATTCTCACCGAATTATCAAAAAAATTCTCACAAAATTATCTTCATCGAAGCCGATGCTTTACATCCGGCGTTCAGTACTATTTCATATTGTTTTACAACACATGGTTTTAGCCCTCTGGTGGGAAAGACTTTAAAACAAAACTTACAACAGTTACTTTTCTCAACAACTGAAATTTAGAATAGTGTGATTACGAAAAATATGTGAAATGTTTGCGATTTCAAACTAATATTGAAATGCACAGGTTTAGAATTTTCTACAGTGAAAAGTTTTCGGAACTTCAGTGTTCAAAAAAGTATACAAAAGCTATACGATAAGAACATATCCAATGAGCGAGCAAAGCGAGCATCGGATTGCGAAGCAATCCGAAATGAACTGCGAAAGCAGTTCCGGGGGTTGGAGAGCGCCAGCGAGCAGGGGGCAGAGCCTCCTAGATATTTCATATTTTGATACGTTATGCGTTATTAGATAAAATTAACCACAATTTGAGCCAAATTTGACTCTGTTGCAACACTTTCATGATTTTCTAATGAATCATAAAATATAATTTAAATAATATAAATGCATAATTTTAATTTTTTGATCCCAACCTTTCTTTCCACGACATTGTGGCAACCCTATGCTAGATCATTTCTTACCAATCACAAGGAATATCTTTTACTATAATTTTCACGTGAACTAATTGTAAGATTTCATTTATAACAGAGATTTAGTATTTCAAAGAAAACTTCTTTCCTAAAAGCTTTTCATCTTCAACCGAAATGTTTTATTTCCAAGAAAACGTATCGCAGAAATATGTTTTGAGTGCATATGGAAACTATGTTATATCTTAATATGATTAAAAACATTTGTGGCACATAAATTAGATATTTCATGCTGGGCAAAAGCTTGCTGACTTTTAATTTAGCATTGAGTTCTTAAGAGGTAATGTCTTCTTTTCGAAGCAGGTGCACATATTTTAGGCTAAGAATATGCATATAGGGCATATCCAACCCACGCAATAAACAGAAACAGTAAGTCACCACCAAAATATTGTATTTAGGTTGCACAAATATACTTATAAGACGTTCAATACATTTTTGTAATATTAGGTCATGTTTTACGTAAATTCTGTGTCATCATTAGGTCTTTCATACGCATTATGAACCAAATATTTGAATTATCGAATGCATAAGAATTCTATAACATCAGCTAAGCAAACAAATTGCTGTGATCGGTGGCATTTGTTTATTGAGTTACATGAATTTAATCATCTTTGTTCTAAATATGTGAAACATTTTTAGAAAGCAAACCGAATAAGTTTGAAATTAGTAAAAATCTTCAACTTTTTATATATTTTTGTATTTTAATGAGCATTTAATTATCTGAAATAATTAAGAGTTAAACTACACCGAGAAAAAAAAAGTTTGGTAAAAACTACCAGAATACGGTATTATTTACCGTGTTTCTGCTTAATCGGGAGCAATTAAAACATAGTAATTCTTACCATTGCTGTTGCATGAGTTTTGGTAAAATTAACAATAAAATGCGGATATTTTGCCGGATATACATGGGTGATTCTCACGAAACATGACAATTCACTGTCCCTTGCTCCAAGATCTAATACTATAATACTGAAAGAACTTTTTTTTAAAAAAAATTTATAAATAGCATTGCTGTGAGCATTTTAAAATGACTTTGCACAAGCATTGACTGTTTTGTATACTTAAAAAATTTAATTGAACTTCAAAATGTCATTTTCCAGGCATGTCCCAAACAATGTTTCCAATAATAACTAGCTACAAAACTTCCCATAACATTTTCAATATCTAATTTTTTTTATCTCAACCGATGTAAGCATTTCTAGAATATACGCAGAGGGTATTATTTACAAAAACTTCGTTTAAAATAATTTTTTCTGTCAATAATTTGTTTGTCCCATGAAAATCTGTCATTTTCCTGGCTACTTTTATTTAGTGATTTATAACCAAAATAGATAGCGCCAGGAATCAATATCTTATGTTAATAGATTGATTAGATACCCTCCTATCTGAACATGTCTTGTTGCATGAATAAAGAACCAATTTTCTGGTTCAAAATCTATTTCAAAAAATTTTTCAAGGTGAGTAGGTTTTTGTGTTGTCATTTTCCTGGCTTCTTGAAATCATTAATAACATAAACTACATAGATTTATCTGAGTTATTTCAAGAAATCCTGTTGTTTTCTGCAGAATGTAAACGTCTTAGGCCAAAATATTAAATTAAAGTAAAGTTATATGCTATAAAATGGCGAATTTGTCATTATCCTGGCTGTCATTTTCCTGGCTTATGAATGCCAGGACATTGAAGTGTTACCAGAAATTCTTTTTAACTGCTAATACTGTAAAGAGGGAAAGCAAATATTAACCTAATACCAAGTTTATGTATGATTGTGATATGCTTGGATGTAATCAAAGTTATTTATTTATTTAATGATTGAATATTATACTCAATTTTATTCTGTACATATCAGCAACAAAATTTTTTTTGTTTTTTTCTACAGTGGATAAAAAGAATTAGTTTAAGCAATTTATGGTCCATCTAACATAAAAGTTTAAGTTGAGTTACTTACTATTAACTTAAAATGACTGTTTATTAAACTTCTAAGGTACTATGTCATTTTCCTAGCATTCAAGATTTGGTGAATTTCTATTTTATTTTTTTTCTCGAGCAAATGTCAATAAACTACACTGCTGTCTATAAGATATTAATAAGTGTAGCTAAAGAAGTGTAAAAAAAATTTTTATTTTATTTTGAAGACTTTAAATTTGAAGAAATTTTTTGGTCCGAATTGTCATGTTTCGTGAGAATCACCCATATATGCTTATAAATTATCAATAAAATGTTGATGTATGGATGCACGTCATGATACCTTAAAGTACGGCATAAAAATCATTTATTCAATTAAATTTATTTTTTAGTTAAAGTATAATTTTGAAAACCAGAATTTAAAGTAAACCATATCCATAGGAGCGGAAAAATTTCCAAATGAATGGTTTAAGTACCGTATATTTTGGTTTTATTGCCTAAATCGTACATTTATAAAGCGTAAGTATTATTCTCAATCTTAGTGGTCTTCGAACTTATCAACTGGAAAGCCA